ATCCGCACCGCAGTGGGGTCCGACCCTAACAACGGAGCGAGGCCCAATGTATACTTAGCCAATTGCAAGGACATGTCTAGAGTAACAACCGAGCGACGCCCGATGTATACTTAACCAGTTGCAAGGACAAGGTTTTCCGGTGAGTGTTCATTCGGAGAAGAAAGAAAGAAAAGAAACAAGAGAAGGGATAATTTGCAAAATAACCCTATAACTTGAGTTAATTTCCAAAATGCCCCTAAAAGATGTGGGTAGAGCGGAATACCCCTCTGACAAAAAAAGTGTTTTGTGAAATGCCCCTGCCGTCGGTTGGACCTGCCATCTTTTCAAAATTCCCCTACCGGGTACTGCCCATCTTTTCAACAACCGCAGGCCCTGATTATTTTCGTTTTACCCCTACCGGGCCAGGTCATCTTTGCGTTTTGCCCCCTGGCGTTGGAAGCCTACAAAGGCCCTTTCCAGGCCCCAGGAAGCCACTACAGGGCCAAGGTCATCTTTGTGTTTTGTCTCCTGGTCGTTGTAGGCCGAAAACGGCCCTTCCCAGGCCCCAGGAAGCCAATACCGGGCCAAAATGGGAATTGTGGAGACAGTCCGGTGCTTTCTTGACGTCTCTGCTGCCGTTGGCAGTCAGTTTCTTCTTCTCCCACCCAATTCACCTCCCATTCATGGGCAGGGTGCAGAAACAAGTCTGGACTTAAGGGGTTTCTGAACTTTTATGATGAGTTCGACCTGCATGAAACAGCAGCTTTGCAACATGAGCACTGCCTCTGTTGCCGCACGTTCATTGAACGCACGTTTCTCGTTCAACTTTTGAACGTGTTGAACGTGCGTTCACTGAACGCGGCTGAATGCTTTTGACGTGTTCGCGGAGAAGCCATGTAGTGTTGGGGGCAGAGGATTTGGGGTGCGGGGGGGACTGGGTGGGGGGCGAGGGGCCAACGACCCTGCAAAAAAAAAAAACATGACCAAATAATGGTAAAAAAAAAAAACGAAGCATCCCTTTGTGGCAAAAAATATCTGCAAATAATGCGGCAAACACTCCCCTCACTTCTGAAAATTAGAAAGCAAGACGGAGAAAAGCCAGGGCCGCGCCATACCAAAAACTGTGGCCACATGCGTAGGCATGTTAGCATTCATATCCTTCTTTTTTTTTTTTTTTTCCTGCTAATTGTGTCCAGCCTCTTTTCCGAAGGGCCCTCGTAGCGAATTTCCTAGGACCCCACGTGCAGCAGAGGTGGACTTCAAACTTCCACTTGCCAGCGTGAGCAGAGAATTCAGGTCTGTGCATCTCGGTTATGGGTCACTGTTTCTCTTTTTTATTTTTCTTTTTTCTCGTTTTCTTTTTAATACGTGCAGTGGCCCTAAGGGCCTCTACTCACCATATGCACAAAAGACAAAACATATGGCGGTGTATTATTCCATGTTCCGCAGAAGATTTATTTAAATTTTGCACATTCCATGAGTACTGCAGCCATGCCCTGAGAATCACGTGCAGAGACCAACACGGCCCAGCTATGTGAGCAACCCATAAGTGCTGACCTGAATTTGAATCCTGAGTATATATTCGGCTAGCTCGTGCTCTATGTCATTCTCACTGCCTGCCTCGATTTTGGTGGAGGGTCTGCACTTAATTGTTGCGAGGACCCTCTCGATTGCCTGCATGGGCCCTTCGAGCCGTGCTAAGGGGATCTAGTGCTCTCTCTCTCTCTCTCTCTCTCTCTCTCTCTCTCTCTCTCTCTCAACCAAAAAAAGGAGTGCATGTGTGTGTGTGTGTAAATATCTGTGTGTGTATTGGTGTGCGTGTGTATATGTTTTGGTGGGGGTATTTCGTGTTTTTTTTTTTACTTCTTTTTTTGAATGCCTCGTGCCCCAGGTGTGGTTGAAGGAGAACGCGCGTTCACAGCATTCAAACAGTTAGGGCGTCGTTCGACACACCTCGGGGAAGTGATTCCAAGGATTTCGTCTTCGTTCCACCTGTCCTCGGAGCCGATTTTCGAAACAGAAATGTGAAAACACTCCGAGGACAAATCCTTGGGCTCCGAGGATTTTCCAGCCAAATCGTCCTCGGCTCCAAGGGATCTCGCAAGGTCCCTCGGAGTCCGAGGATCTGCAATAATCGGGGTGTCGGCGGCGAGTCCAAAAGGGAAATTGGTGGTCGGAGGTGGTCCAGTGGTGGTCCTCCAGGTAGAAGACGAACATCGTGAGGCGCCGACGTCCAAGACGTCCACCAACGGCCTCGTCTTTTTACCATTGTCGGGGATTGGCGATACGTCCCTGTCGGTTCGTCGGGCGGCCCCACGGCGGTGCCGTGCCGGGCATCGGACGTTTTCGGGTGGGTCGTGGAGGTGTCGTAGCGTTCCTGCGGGCTGCCCAACGGTCGGAAACACGAATTTTTTTAAGCGTCCACCCGCGGCCGGTGGCTGCAGCGATTTCGTACGTTGGCGTCTACCCTCGTGCAACGTGTGTCTCTGGTCGTCGCGATCGCGACAGCCACGTGCGTCCCCTCTCCTTCATGGCTGACCTGTGCCACAGGCTGCCTTTGTTGCTGCTTGTCACTGTGCTGCTGCTTGCCGTTGTCGTCTTTCATATCTGCATCCTCGGTCGCGTCCCTGGGAGGAAACAGAGGCGGCGAATGATGAAGGCGACCAAGGAGATGGAGAAGGTGCAGACGAAGAGGACAATGTCCGTAGGGGCTGGCGGGTCGTCACGTCAGCGTTGCAGCTCTGCGGAAGGCGGCAGGCGGCGTACGACCCGATGCTGTACAGCCACCTGCCGTCCCACGAGATTCCATTGCCTCGGAGTGACGACAACAGCGATGACCCCCGATCATCAACGGTTCTTCTGTGCAGCGGTTTGACGCAGGATTGGATGGGGAGCCAGCTATACAGACAGCCCTCGACGCCGACGTACACTGATCTGCTGGAGGGGTGCACCCCGGTTGGTTATGACGCAGGGTTCGTAGATCTCAGCTATGGTTTGAGGTCTGGGAGTGGCCAGGACGTCACGCACGTCGTTCTCGTGAACCCAGCTTCTGGCAGCAACCACACAGCGCCTTCGGTGGGGCCGTGTGCCGTTCCTGACACCCGTGGCCGGGGTTCTGGTCAGCCGGGCGACGAATGTGGACTCGTTTCGTGAGGGCGGGGGGCAGTGGGCACAACAGGTGTTCGCGCGTCGGGGACGCGGACAGGTGGATCGACAACGGCAGCCGGCGCAGTCCACCGAGGACGGGATGACGATGACGGCTACGCTGCGGAGGTCGTGGGGCGAGAGGTTTGGGATGATTACCGGCGACAATCGTGACAATCTAGCACGTCCGCCATAACGAGAGGGGTAACAAAGATCAATGTAGGGGCGGACGACACACCCGGCGATTGCGACGGTGCGGGTGGTGAAGATTGCTTGGCAGGCGACGGGGGCAATGACAACGACGAGGACGACGACGGGGAGATGGAGATTCGTCCGGTGGGGAAGAAACGGGGAGGGCCTAGGGCGACGAGCAAGTCCAGCGAGCCGCGCGCCGGGCGGAGAGGCAAGAAGAGTGTGGGAGATGCGTCGGCAGGCGACGGAGCGAAAAGCAGGGATTTTTGGACCGTTGAACACATGATTGCTCTTGTCGAGCTAAAAGAGACCAGGATTTGCATCTTGCTGGCCTCGGCCACAACATGGGAAGGATGAAAACGAAGACATGGAAGTGGGCCGACATCGAGAGCAGGCTCGTGCAGATGGGGGTGACGAGTAGAAAGGCCGACGACTTCGGGAAAAAATGGGACAACCTGCACATGCAGTTCAAAATTGTGCACAAGTTCATGGGAGAATCGGGGAAGCCTGATTTCTTCACACTGACGCCCCGGGAGAGAAAGGAGCGGGGGTTCGATTTTCGGATGGACGAGCGTGTGTATTCGGAGATGAAGGCCACGTCTAGGGGCGATCACACTATACACCCCACGAATCTGGCGGACACGGGTGCAGCGGGAGGTGTTCAACTGCCCGGCCGACCTGGAGGTCGGAACGATTCAGGCGGTAGTGACGGATGCGGGGATGGGCAGGACGACGATCAGGGATCGACGCGGAATTCAAGTTTCAGTGGCGGCGGTGCGGGCGGGTGCGGCAAAAGGAAGAATGTGAGACAACAGACCTTCGACACCATTGCGGACGTCATAAAGGAACACGGGAGTCCGATGGCGACGACGGTGGACAGCACGAGCAAGAGGCAGTGCTCAATTTTGACTAGGCAATGCGACATTCTTGAGCGAGAGCTAGAAGTGCAGAAGGACCACTACGTGAAGGCCGACCAGGCGAACCTGTTGATGTGCAACGCCCTTATGGAGATTGCTAAAGCGACCCGCGAACGATCATGAAGTCGATGGGCCACACATGTCCATCGTCCACGCGAATGCCTCTTGTGTGCTTTTGGATCGTCGGCGTTGCCCCCGTACTGCGTGCTGCTGTGCGGTGGTGGGCAGGTTGTGTACAGACGACGGGTCATTTCTGCAAGCGGTTTCCATTGCAAGAGTCAAATTTTTTGATTAGCTTAAAGGGTGTTGATTGCTGTCATGCCCGTCGGCTCGTCCTTCGGTTTCAAATTACGACGCCCGATTATTGTTCAACGCCTGTTGATGTGACGCGTTGCAGCCACGCGCGGATGGGGATCCAGCAGGGTTCTCTTTTTTTTTGGGGGGGGGGGGGTTGTCGAAGAAAGGAATGGGTGGCACGGTGTGTTTTTTTTGGGCGGGAGGGGACAATGGAGGACAAGGACGCCTCAAGTTTTTGGGGGGTGGCGGACGACGGAAGCGTGCCGGGGTCTTTCGACCTCCACCATGGTCCTCCTGCGCGCCGACACGCGTTCTTGTCCATGCGAGGGATCACTTGAAGCCTTCGGGAAAAAACGGTCCGTGTACGATCGATCGGGGGGCGGGCTTTCGTGGACGTCGTGGCGTATACACGGTGTGCGGCGATAGCGCATCGCGTTGAAAAGGAGATTCCGGGCTGCAGTCCGTACGACAGTACTTCATTTTCCATGTCTCCGACGGTGTCGTCTAAGCAGTGATTCGTAGCCGCACGCCAGCACTTCCCGCCCTTTGCCTCTCCAGGCTCGAGCTTTGTGCACCGCGTGCAGTCCCCCTTCACGCGCCGGAAGCACGTGCTCTTTTTTTGCTGGCCATCATCGTCACGGCTCCTGCCCACCACGATTGCGCATCGTCCACGTGCTCCGTCGTCGACGTGGCCGTCGTCGATCTCCACGCGTCCTTCTTCCACGTGCTTCTTCCCGTCAGGCACGTCAGGCAAATTCCCGCGTCATCGATCTCCACGCTCGAGCTTTGTGCACCGCGTGCAGTCCCCCTTCACGCGCCGCAAGCACGTGCTCTTTTTTAGCTGGCCATCATCGTCGCGGCTCCTGCCCACCACGATTGCGCATCGTCCACATGCTCCGTCAACGACGTGGCCATCGTCGATCTCCACGCGTCCTACTTCCACGTGCTCCTTCGTCGACATGCTCCTTCGTCCACGTGCTCGTCGTTGCCGAGTTGCGGACGACATGGCCCCGAGAAACGCATCAGTGAAGGTCAGGAAAGATAGCGGGGCGGGCGACGGGGGGGGAACCCAGAGAGGCAGAGGGCATGTGCCTAAGTTGAAAAGGCAGCGCGTTGAAGAGGCGAGCTCTGACCACACAAGAGACTTCCAGCCAGAAGAAGTGCTGATAGTGGACGCGCAAGGGATTTTAGCGGCGGCGCGATTGGGTTTCGGCCAAGATGGGGTGTCGAAGGAACAGTTGTCCGCTCTGAAGCGGAGCATTGCTGTTGGTGCTGCCGAGGCGTCGCAAAGGACCCCGAAGGCGGCAGGGGTTGTCATAACGGAGGTGTGCGTGCCGAGGCAACTTCCCGCGACAGTGGGGCAAGGCCAGCCACGTCAGGCACTCCCCCTGCAACAGGTGGGGGCTTCAGGGGGAGGGAAAGCACAGTCCGCGCAAAAGGGCAATGCAACGGCGACCGACACTCGGACGGCGGCGGCGGATCACAGCAGTAGAAGCGGAGTCGCCGAAGGTGCGGCCGAAGAGAGGGTAGACGATGTCCGCCGCGACGATGGAAGAAGAGACGGAAAGCGGGAGGGCGACGACGACGACGACCGTCCACTTGTGAAGAGGTTGAAGGGAGCCGCAAAGGAGGATGGTCTGGAGGAGAGATCAAAGTTGTGGGTTGATTGCGACTCTTTCTGGGGTCAGGGACCGGGGAAACCCTTGAGGGAGGCGGTTGGCGAGTGCGAGGACTACTTCATCTCCATCCCCAACGGAGACGTAGGAGCTGAACCGCCTGCGATGCTCATACGGCCGCAGAACAACGTGCCGCGCTTCAAGATCGAGGACCCTGCGCAGCGTGAACCGGCTCTGCGCAGAGCGCGCAGCGTGGAGAAAGTGGTGCTGCGCGCCATCCACGGCTGGATCTTCAAATCGTCGTCGCGGCCGGCTGGATTCGCTCGTGCAGAGTCGTACATCAGCATCGACATTGCCATGGACGTCGCACGAGCAGTTTGGCAGGGGCAGGAATGGTCGAACGTGGTTTCCCCTGCACTCGTGTACCACACTCTGGCGATGAAGATGGACGTGCCTCTGTGGTTCGCGGGGGTGAAGATTGTGGATCGGCCCGAGGACGACGACATGGCGGCGCGGCAGGAGGCGACAGTTCTTTGCGTCGCGGAGTGCTGGACAGAGGCACTGTGGTGTGGACAATGGGTGGACGGCGGTCGCGTGAAACAGGAGAGGTTGTCTAGGCTTGCGGACTGTCTTCAAGCGCTGTTGAGCGCGTGCATGTGGATCATGCGCATGGGTGGTGACGACGACCGTTCGCACTACGAGGCGTGCCTTAACTCGTCCATGGTCGCCAAACCGACAATGATAGCGGCGGGGTCGTACATCTTCAACTGGTGGCGACACATCGTCGACAACGCGAACCTCGTCTTGGATCGTATAGGGAAGGTTCACCTCACGCTGGGAGAATACCCGCACTGCATTCCGGAATGGTGTGACTGCGGGTTGGTGTTCGGCCACAACGCGACCCTGAAGAACGCAGCGGAAGCCGCGAAAGACGGATGGATCGGCAGCGGGCCCGCTGCGGAGGAAGAGGGAGACGAGGACGGTTATCACATGACGCACGCGTGAATGGCCATCTCATTGTCGTCCGCATCGTTTTCTGTATGAGGCCCTTTCTTTCGATTTCACCTATCGCGGCATCGTTGTCATCGCTGTCAACTGAACAAAGAAAAGAAATAAAAGGAAAAAAGGCAGGAGCCCAAACATGCACTTTCATTGTCATCTTTGTGTGCTTGGCGCCCGTGTTTCCCTTCCTCATGCCATCGTCGGATCCTAATGATTGCACCTACCATGAAGGAAGGGGGAAAAAAATGAAAACAAAAAATTTGAACTACTACAAGGAAGGTCACAGCGCAGTTGCCTGATGAGCACATCTGTCGCGAGTTCATCTTTCTTTTGTTTGTCGATGCATGCCAGTCGTCAATGCAACAACGAAGCTTTTCCGACAACAATTCACAAACGCGATGCATGTCATTCTTCAATGCAACAACGAAGCTTCTTCGGCAACATTTCACAAACGCAGACAAGCTGAGACGACATGCACAACACACGTTCCATGCACCGCAAAAAAAAAACAAGATCCCTCGAAACAATAGCAGCAGTCGGGTACACCAAAACATCCATTCCCAAACATCATCAAAAACATTCACCGTGCGAAAGTTGGAAAAAAAAAAAGGCGCTGTGAAGCACATGCGAACCAGCGGGCTCACGAACCTCTTCGTGCCAGTCCTCGACTACGACTCCCATCTACAACTACCCCCCCCATCAAACAAGGACCGAACCCATCGACGACTCCACGGCATTGCGCGGGAAAACCAACTTCTCGGCCACGATGACAATGAAGAGCCAAAAAATGAAAAGACGACCGTAGAGGACGAATACTACATCAGCGACCCCGTCGCAATCCCGCTGCACGACGGACTGGACCTATACAGCGTCGTGGAATACAAGAACAAACACCTGAAAAGAACCTGACCACAAAGGCAGACCCTCACTGGCGATCGCGCGCGTAAGCGGAAGACGAAAGAGTTGTCGGCCGACTATGGCGGGACACGACTTCAACGGGACGAACACGTAGGTGGCTGGCTGGATCAAACGTGTTTCATCCGCTGCGCCAGTGCATTGCGGAGTGCGTGATCCTCGCGCGTCGAAGTCAACATGGACACTGGCTGCGGGGGGCGATGAATCCCCAGGTCCACTCGGCGCCTCACCCCGTTCGCGCCGACCTCCCACAACGAATTCTCGTCGAACTCGATGCCTGCATCGAGCAGGATGTTGTGGAGAATGCATACTGTCGTGAACTGTTGCGGCAGACTGTCGAGGTTTGTCTTGTGCGTCCGCAGGAAGAGCCTCCACATCCCTTTCAACCTCCCGAACGCCCTCTCCACGGCCCCTCTTGCGACCTTCTGCTTCGTGTCGAACCTTTCCTCGTCCGGGTGCTGATTGATTCCTCTGTACGGCACCACCACCCACTCAGAAGGAGGATACCCGTTGTTGCCCAAGATGTATCCGTTCGTCCTCACCCCTCCCGGGAGCGTCACAGGCGGCGCACGAAACAACAATCCCTCTTTCGCGCGCCTCGACAGACTTGATAGCTGGATCACCCTAATGTCATGGCAGCTCCCCGGATATCCAACGAACACATCAAGGACGCATAGATCCAGGTCCACCACAATCTACGCAATGACGGAAAAACGGTGTTTGCGGTTGAAGTAGTTCTCACTCGGCGCGTTCGCCGGTTTGTCCACGTAGATGTGTGTGCAGTCAACTGCGCCATGGCAGTTTGAAAAGCCTTGTCTAGAAATGCCCGTAGCACGACTTGTTTCCGCAAACCCGTCGGCCACGATATCTTGTCCCCGTACACCCTCAAAATAGCGGTTGTCACATCGCGCACGGCTCGAACTCCGGAAGTCCTGCCTATGCCGAAGGATGATGTGCTACTATCGTAAGACTCTCCTGTGACCACCTATACAGCGCGTACGCGACGATCTGCTCCGGCTGTAGTGGCTCCCTGTAAAACGTCACCTGCCGCTGCACATGAGGCGCACATGCTTCGCTGATCTCCATGAACACTCTCCTGGACATGCGGAGCTTTTCCCGGAAGTAGTCGTCTATCGCGTCATCGCACACCCGTAAATCCTCCCAAGTCCCGCCAGCTCTCCGCCGCATCCACCAACGTGGCGTCGCCCGAGGAAGCAAACCGCACCCAATTGCAGCAACAGCTGAACCACGGCTTGGGATGTGGTGATGCAGTTCGGCGCGTCCAACACCCTTTGCAGCAGAAGCCTCTGCCGCCGCCTCGAAAGCGCTGCCTTCATGCGCCCGGCCGCACTCTCAATTTGGAAACGACGGACAATGGCAACCACAGCCGCCGTGACAGTTGTCTTCTCCGTCGTCGACAGCACAGCAGGTCCATCGCCATCGCAGCCGTCCATCACGTCCTTCGAAGACAAAAAACAACGTCCATCGCCGCCCACCTCCGTGCGCCTCTGCCACCACGTTTGAAAACGCCTGCAACCATGTCAGGAATACAGCCCGGCCCAACGACGCGATTCCGATTGGAGCGTCCACCCACCGCCGCTGAAGAGCAGGACCGCTGCGGCGCCTGCACGTGGCGAACGCGACTGCCTACCAGACGTCTTCGTTTTGCCGCGTCGACCACACTTGACGCAGTGGCGGTGCGGTGCCGCTGAAATACGCAACGCGATGGCAAACGAAACCCTGCGAGGCGTAGACTGCCCCCTGGCCGACCCGCCTGTGCGCCGCCACCACGTCGCTCCGCAAGATCAAAATTCGAAATTTGAATTTCGAAAGGGGATGTTCCCACGTTGGCGAATTTTTTCCAAGGCCCCGTGACGTTTTCCCGCCGTCCGCCTGTTGGACCACCACGCCTGCTACACGGACATCCCAAATCGGAGGCCGGACATTCCCCTCGCGGCTGTGTATAATCTAATTAAACTGGCCGCGGGAGGGCCCCGAAGATTCGTCCTCGGGGCAATTCTCCGAGGACAGGTGGAACGACACCTCCGAAAATCAAAAATTACTCCGAGGACGCGCTGAGGTGTGTCGAACGACGCCCTTACATAGAGCACTGCACTCCAGACACTGGCAGACAGTCCACCTGCCTAATAGTCTATATTCAGCTGCACAACACAAGCACTGCAATCTGGCAAACTAAACATCGAACTGAACAGCAACTCCAAATAGATTACTAGATGACCTGGGCTGCAAAAGAATAATGGGAAAAAGGTGAAAATAACAGAAAGCATAATGAACTACCTTTCCTATGATTCGCTGCTTCTTTGCAACTAAGAAAAGCAAAAATGGTGTTAAAAAACATGGTAAACACAAAAAAAACATGGTAAACACAAAAAAAAACATGGTAAACCCAAAAAGAGTTAAAAAAAAACTGTCATTCTATATTCTTTCCCAATAACGGACGAAAAACAAAGCTACAATACACGCAGAAAGCATGGTAAACCACCAACAAAAGCATGATAAACCACAAAGCATGATGAACCACAGGCAGGTTACTAATCTCTCTCTCTCTCTCTCTCTCTCTCTCTCTCTCTCTCTCTCTCTCTCTCTCTCTCTCTTCCCCCCATCTTTGTGCAACTTGTTACCCTTTTCAGTGTTCCACCCGTCAAATAACCACGCCGTCAAAATCGGCGGCAACCACTCCAGTCATTCCTCCGCCGCAACCACTCCAGTCATTCCTCCGCCTAAAAATCCGCCGTACTGGTCTCCACGTCGTACCATTCCAGCGCCAAGACGTCCTATAAAAAATCCTTATGAGTAACGTCCGCCGAAATGCATCAAATTTCGTGCTTCTTCATAGTAGTGGGAGGCCATTTTTCATTGTGAGGGTTGTATCACAATATCATCACAACTGACCAGTAATGATGCCATGAGGCTAGAACACGCCATGCTGCATCAATTTATTATGCCACTTGGCCTATTCTAAGAAAAGGGGCTAAGGGGTAGCGGGATGCCATTTTTCACGACAAGAGGTCATCTCGACGAACGTATCACCATGTCCACATATAGGACTATCAAGATTGCTCCGCCCCTGGAGGCTGATGTACGAAAGCAAGAAGAGAAAACACATGGATAGCGCACGCGCGCGCACGAGAGAGAGAGAGAGAGAGAGAGAGAGAGAGAGAGAGAGAGAGAGAGAGAGAGAGAGAGAGAGAGAGAGAGNAGAGAGAGAGAGAGAGAGAGAGAGAGAGAGAGAGAGAGAGAGAGAGAGAGAGAGAGAGAGAGAGAGAGAGAGAGAGAGAGAAGTGACCAGCAGGAGGATTTAAGACATGTTGACCTGTCAGTGCTGTCATAGGAGGAGAACTTGGAGGATTGGGGGGGAGGAGGAGTTGGAGATGGGGAAGCTTACGAGGGTGGAGCCAGGACGATGAAGAAAGCTGCCGAACACAGCGGGAGACAGAGGTAGAGACTTGGAATGCGTTTTGAAAGTTTGAATCGCGGAGGGAAACTGCTGTGCCTACGGGCCTGGGTATTCCACAAAGTTGTCCACATGGTATGGAGGGCGAACCGGGTAAAACAGGGTGCAGGCCCAGGCCCCAACGCCGCAGTCCAGATTGCAAATTTGCACACGGGCCCGACAGAGGCGAAACACAAAGATTTAGGCCCAAAAGGGCATTTCGCTCTACCCACATCTTTTAGGGGCATTTTGGCATATGACTCAAGTTATAGGGATACTTCACAAATTATCCCAAAAAAGAAAGAAAAGAAAAAAAAAAAAAGAAAAGGAAAAGGGGAGATCAGACCCATGAACAACCATTTCGTCAAAACGGACATTTTTTATTTTTTGAACGAAATTGAAACCGAGTTTTTTGAGCGAAAACTCGTCAAAATTTGTTGTTCCTGAGGGTCCAGCGTTTTAAAAACGCTGGACCCCCTGGCTGTACATGAACCTAGCTTGAGACCAGGCACCTCCAGGCAGGACTGCCTCGAGGTACCTGGTCTCAAGCAAGGTCCATGTACAGCCAGGGGGTCCAGCGTTTTACAAACGCCAGACCCTTGGGAACAACAAATTTTGACGAGTTTTGGGCCAAAAAACTCGGTTTCAATTTCATTAAAAAAATACGTTCATGGGGCTATCTCAGCTGGAACACCAATGAACTTGAACTGTTGAAATGCAGACTCAAGTTCGAATCCAGGAGCATGGTCCCACTAGCAGTCGGATAGGAGTGTGGGCGATGCAGTGTGACACTGAGTGGCAGCGGCCTGACAGCTTCATTACGAATTTCTGGACTGAGAAAACAGAAGAAAGGCAGGGGGGGAAAAAACCAACCAAACAGAGACCTCCCACAAGAAATCACTTCAGAGTGCTTTTCAGCCATCAGATCACAAATGATCTGAAGGTGGTGGTTGCAACAACAGTGAACGAAGTAACTGCCACTTTTTTCTGGAACAGTGATCATAACGCCCTCCATATATAGAGCAGTGTATACTCTTCTCTCAATTTTTCCTCACACTACCTACCTACCACTACTCCTACCTGTAGGCATACGGGGAAACCCGTAGCATACCAGAGCCGTGTTTTTACGGCCCCTCGAGCCTGCAGGATACCGGCCAGGGGACGGCCGGTAGCACCAGGGATAAAGCGGACCAATCCCCCGTGCCTCCCCTCAGGCCCCTCCCCTACGAACATAGCAGACTCTGCTTGATGCCAATCGGGGGATCCAGTGGTCTATCTCTTGGGTAGCGGGTGCCAAGTAAGCCCAGGAAGGCATGAGGCCCATGGGGATTGAACCCATGACCTCCTGAATGCCACTTGCGAGCCTTACCAACTGAGCTAGGCCGCTGGATGAAATTTCATTTCGAACGGTCCGGGTGCCCAAGGCTTACATTAACATAGCAGAGAATAAGATGAAAATAGCAGAGGGCTACTGGCCTCGGGTGCACTCCCCACCCTGAGCCATCCTTCTGTAGCAAACCAGAAAACAAAAACACTTCCCAACAAAATAATTCCTAATACTACCTAAATGCCGTAAAAACTCGAAGAGATGGGTCGGGATGGGGAGTGCACCCGAGGCCAGTATCCCTCTGCTATTTTCATCTTATTCTCTGCTATGTTGATGTAAGCCTTGGGCACCGGGCCAGTTCGAAATGATTTTTTTTTTTTTTTTTTTTTTTTTTTTTTTTTTTTTTTTTTTCCATCGAGAGGGGAAAAAAAAATAAAAAAATTCCTGATTAAAATAAATAAATAAATAAATCAGGAATTTTAATAGAGTGAACCTGGAGTACTCTTGCCACTCCACTGCTTGTGTTCTTCAGTTACCCCGGGGGGGGTGGTCCCACTAGCAAAGAGGATCGGATAGAACGCCTGAATCTGGACGTGTTTGTGGAGAGGTGCAGGAAATCGAGATTGAACTGCTTTTCTGAATCTCTGCATAAAACACATCCAGATTCAGGCATTCGATCCGATCCTCTTTGGTAGTGGGACCTCGGCCCGGGCAGACTGTGGGGGCCCCGGGGCCAAGTTACCACTTTCTGTTCTTATAAGGGACGCTGGGCCCGGTTCCCAGCAAGCGCTGCTCCCCACGAATAGAATGGAGCCATGTTGGGAAAAAAAAAAAGAAAAGAAAAAGCAAAAGTGGCATAAGATAACGAGCACATCTTCAATGTATCTGACCATATTACGGCCGAATGTGGATGTATCTGGCGGGAGTTACACTCAAAAGTAAGTAAGCGAGATCCTCGTGTGAGGATGCCGTTACGGACGAAAGCTATGGCAGCGACTTGCGTCGCGCCACGAAAGCAAAACGACAAAAAGAAAGCAAAAAAAGCTCTTTTGAAGGCGGTCACGGGTGATCGCCTGAGCGCAAGCCAGCCATAGCCAGTGCGGGAAAGTAGTGGAGGAATAGAACGTTGTGGCCTGTACTCATCGTCCAACTTCCCTCTCTCGAAAATGAAGTACGTCGCAGCATATTTGCTGGCCGTTCTCGGCGGCAAGGCCCACCCTACGGCGGATGACATCGCTGACATCCTGGAATCAGTGAGTGCGGATGTTGATCACAAGAGGTTGGATAAGTTGATGAAGGAGGTAGAGGGCAAGGATGTCAATGAATTGATCGCCGCAGGAAGGGAAAAATTCTCCTCGGTCCCGTCTGGTGGCGGCGCAGTTGCCGTGAGTGCTGGCGGCGGTGGTGGAGGTGACGCAGCTAGCGGCGTTGCCGCTGCGGAGCCGGAGAAGGAACCAGAGAAGGAAGCAGAAGAGGAGGAAGAGGATGAGGATATGGGCTTCAGTCTCTTCGACTAAGGTGGAAGGGTTTTCTTACTTCCATTTTCTGAAGCCTGCACAACTGTGTCTGCTAATTAATAGAACTGTCCTTCCTGAGAAAGAGTCGAAGAATTGTTGAAGGCACAGATGATGCGGTCTTTACCTGCACAGTTGTGCAGGTACAGATGATGCGGTCTTTACCTGCACAACTTTGCCTGCCTCCTATGTAAGGATGAGGATACCTAATTTTAGTAGAATCGTACGAGGGGACAGAATCTGCAATTAGGGCCGAGCTTCCAGCTGTGTTGAATCAGTCTTTGGTTATCGTCGTCTCCGGCGGGCTGAAAACTCGAGGGCATAGTACAGAGGAGAGAGGAAGCATGTTAGATCGAGAGGCCTCGATAACGGGTAGAGACAAACACCGGTCTGCCTCCTGTGGACAGGAGGCGTGGGATTAATATTTTGTGCTATGCATGTAGTAACAGAGGGCTCCGTTTCTCCTTGTTTTTGAGAAAACATCCTGAATGAGGTGTGATGATTTGAGTTCAAAAAAAAAAAAAAAAAAAAAAAAAAAAATCGATGGAAGCGGTGTATCGGGTCCGGCCGGAAACTAGTGCCATTCAAAAATAGACACGTTGGTGGTGGGTTCAGGGACATACATGCAAATTGGGAAATTTTAGATTTTAGGGCACACACCCAAGAGCCTAGCTAGAAACAGAAACTCGTTCGACTCTGATGGGACGCCGCGAAAGGACGGATTAGCGCTCAAGCGCTCCGTTCCGCTCCGGTGTCAGCCGGCGGCCGAGATTCGCGCGGAAGGAATTTCCTAGGCTTGCCGTGCTGCTACTTCCTCGTTCTCTCCACCATCGCTGACGGCGCATGAGGGCATGGTCTCACCCACGCGTCGTGGGTGCCGCTTGCGGGGATCACCTATGCCGTGAAGTAGCCCATACACACCTGCAGTCTGTTGGTTGCACGGATGGTTTACTACGAATGGTAATGCACTTTTGAGATCGGTTAACTAATCCAATTCAACTGAGTTCTGACGGTTTCTGCTCGGAACTTACTAGGGAGGAAGGATACGTCAGCTATGGCAGAGGTGGAGGACGAGGCGGGGAGGGGAGGTGGAAGGTCGCCACCGCCACCCGATTTCTGGGTTATGGAGGACAGAGTTAGACACTCCATCGGACAGTGCTATGATGAAGGCGTGTTCCCGGTAGAACCCAACATGGGTGAGGTGGTCGAGGATGAAAGGGGTAGGAGGTTCAGGGTGAACGAGTCTCTCGATGCCATTAAGGAGAAATGGCTGAAGGAGAGGACGGTGATCTTCATCTTCCAGGATGAGGCACGGAACCCGACACGAGGTGTAAAAGAGGATCTGATTTGAACCTTCGAAGACGGGTGGCTTGCTAGGAGGCTGTTTAATGCGGATGTCAGAAGAGGGCGCATCAAGTTTGAAGGTCCGAATGTCGTCTCCTACGTGGCGAGGGCTTCGGAAGTGGCCACTTGGCTCGTGCAGAAGGGATCGACAAGACTAAGCTTGGCGGGGAAGGACTATCCAGTGGCCTTTAAGCCATGGATGACCAAACCAGAACTCAAGGAGATTCGCCTGAGAGATGCGGAGACAAATTTTTGGATTGTAGCTCTCAGGGTGCCGTTAGATGCGATGTATTACTTACGGAGCGCGGCGGAAGGCTTGATCGGGGGCCTTAAGCAGATGCATGCGCCGGAAGCTGACAGATCGCGGCCTAAACTAATGAATGTGAAGATCGACATGGATCCTCAGGCCCGATTCAAGGTAGAAGACACCCTGATTATCGAATCTCCGAAGGGTGAATGGTGGAAAGTGGAGGTGGCCACCCCCTATTCCGATTGGTGTAGGAAGTGCCGTTGGTATTTTCACACCGAAGAGAATTGTCCTCGTCAGGGGTATGACAGAGGGCCTAGGTGGCAGGGTACTCCAAACCCAGCTCAGCAACGTGCCCCAGCCATGTCGGAGCCGAGAAGGGCAGCCAATTCTGCGAATGGGGCAGACAGACCTATCGCGGCTCCGCAGACATCCCAGGCTTCTCACGGACGGGGAGCGATCGGCACTAGAGACGCAGTCCGCCCTTCTCAGGGCTTCGCCACGTCAGCTCAGCAGGACGAAAGGCTATCGAACACGGCGCAGGCACGAGATCAGAGTGTGCTTGCCCAATACCCCCACATAATGGCGAATCCCACATTCTCCCCCGCTCCCGGTAACCAATCCTATTCCTTCCAAGCCGCCCATCCTCCCCCTCCACCTCCTCCTGATCGCACACTAATGCCGGGCTGGACAAATCCGGGGGAATGGCCAGCATCTGTCTATGCAGCCCCCCACCCTCGACAGTGGCATGATGCACCTAACCTCGTACAGGGGCATCAGGACGTTAATTACTGTTTTCAACCCGCACATCACTCCAACCCCGACCTTTTCCACCAGGACACAAGGATCCTTATGCCCCTCCACCGAGGTATGGCCTTCCCCCGCTGCCTCCGTATCAGTCACAGGGATATGATGAGTACGTTGCGCCCCAGTTCACTGCAGAAGGAGGTGGTGCGCAGCGCCCACCGCCAAGCGAGCCATCCAGGTGTGAGCCTTCTTCCAATAGGCAAGGCTATTCTAGACTCCGTTTTGTTCAGAGACAGGATTTCTCACAAGGGGCAGAGCGAGATCGGGACACGGGTTTCGACAATGCGCAGGGCCGCTATGATCAGGGGCCGCACTCAAGGAGGGATCGGTTTCCTCAGGAAGATTGTTCCCCGACTGCTACACCAGCCCCATCGGAATCGAAGGTACAAATGGGGAGCGACCTGATGGGCGACGAGCTGCCAGACTCGCGGGGAGGTGATTTGCAGGCGGAAGGGTCAGAATCCTCCACGGGTAGTTCAGCCGGTGCGAGGGGGAGCAGGAAGGCCTTAACATGTAGGCAGAGTCGGGGAACAAGGGGGGGTACAATTAGGGGTGATCAACGAGATGGGCTGATTAGGAAGGTAATCCCGATTCTATGCGCGATTACCAGGGAAGGGGCGGTCTTCCTTGGCCGTTCGCACACCGATGGCCGCCCTTTCCTCCCCATAGCAGACACGGTCAAATCGCCAACCCCGATGGAGATCATCGCTCTCACGAAGTCGTTGTTTGGGGAATCCTTCCCGGTAAGGATAATCCCCAAATCCCTCATGATCAATATCGTGGTTCCAGTTGAGGGGAGTTCAATTAAATTTTATTTTCCGTTCCTTGACGCAAGAATTGACTTACAAACAGCGGATGCCCTGGCAGCTACCGGAGTTCGCTGGTTCCAGCTCGATGGAGTGAGGGAGAGAAATAGACAAGAATTAGAAACCATCTCTGTAACGGATGGGATCTCGGCTTTGTTACTCCTGGATCTCAATCAGAATCTACCATCAGAACTCAATCTCCACTCCAAATTTTTGTTTGACGCTCTAGCAGCACAGTGGCCCTCAAAATCACAGTCTTCACAGTCTGGGAGATCGTCAAGACACAGTTCGTTGGCTCGTACCCCTCCGGTGGAACGCAGAAGGTGGGTGTCAGAAGCAGACTTGGATTCATCCCGCGTCCAATCAGAAGCGGAGGCAAATATGCGCCATGGTTAAGCTGAAGATGGCTACGTGGAATGTTAGGGGCCTGGGCGACTCCTCAGGAAGGAGGAAGAAGAGCAGAATTAAGTCCTGGGTTTTCCGCAAGCAAGTCGAGGTCTTGTGCATACAGGAGACAAAATTGAGTGAGGACAAACTGAGAGCCATTGCGGGCTGGTGGGATGGCCCACAGGTGTGGTCTCCGGCGCAGGAATCGAGGGGCGGGGTAGGCATCCTTCTACATCGTTCGTTGCAGTCGCAGGTGGTAGACTCGGAGGCGGACCTGTGGGGTCGCTGGGCCTGGTTTAAGCTGCAGTCTGATCTCACAGAATGGGTGCTGATGACGGTATACGTGCCTGCCGACCCTAGCACCAGAGCTGCATTCTTCAGGACGCTGCTGCCGGTCATTCCTCACTCGGAGCATTTAATCATGGTCGGGGACTGGAATGTATCGCTGGACGAGGCTTTGACAGATGGGACTCGCACGGCGGGCAGGAGGGATGCACTAGCTTTGATGGATCTCATCCAGGACCTTGGACTATCGGGCCCCTTCCGCTCATTGAACCCGGCTGCCTCTGGCTACACTTGGTTCTCCATTATTAGTCGGGAGAGGGGGGATGTGACCTGTGGGCGGCTGGATTATTTCCTGGTTACAGGGGGGTTGGCACAGGGCTTTACTGCGATTGGCCCCAAACTGCACCCAATGTCTGATCATCGGTCAGTGCTGGCGGAGATGGTCCTCACAGAGGCTACTTCAAGCTGAATTCCCTAAACCTTAAGGACCCCGGAATTAAATGTTGGGTAGAGGAGCAAATGGTGTCGTGGGACGCAGCCCGACAGTTCTTTCCGTCCACGGCGGAATGGCTAGATGGGGGTCTGGCGATCATCTCTGGTATGATGAACGTCTGTTCAAGGATCCTGGCGAAGGGAAGAAATGTGGAAGAGGACAGGTGTAGGAGAGGAGTGGAGGAGGCTGAAAGAAGGATGGAAGCCCACCCGATCTCGGAGCGGTTCTGGGCGGCGGAGAGGGAGCGGAGGCTTGCAGAATGGGAGAGCCTACAGGCGACCAGGCAGGCGGAGTGGGAGGAGCTCCTGAGCATCAAAAGTATTATGGTTCAAGACCGCCTCACTAAAGAAACATTCAGGAAGTTCCTACCTAGCAGCTCTTTTCACCCGGTGGTGGAATTAAAACACCCCTTCGATGCGCTGCATTTTTGACATGGATACGCAGGCTGGTAGCCAGATTCCTGTGGAAACCCAGAGCAGGGATTGACGGCGGGTTCATGGTCAAAGTTGCATGGGAGTTGATCACCTTCGACAGGGACGAAGGAGGGCTCGGTCTGATTGACCCTCACAGGAAGAACATGGCTCAGTTGAGGAAGTGGATCTCCCGCATAGCTATGGCAGATTTGAGGAAGGACTGGATACTGTTGGCCGAGCGTATCCTGATGAGCGAGTGGAGGCTCTTGAGGCCAGAGGACGTGTGGGTCTGTTTTTTCATGCAGTTCTTCATGAACAGGAGATTGAAGTCGGAATTCTGGGAGGCGGTTCGCAAGGCTTGGAAAGACCACCCACCAGACCCTCGCAAAGAGCCGCAGACAAAAGAGGAGGTACTCCTTCAAACCCCTCTTTGAGAATCCATTTATCTTGGATGGACAAGGCAAACCGTTTTCGGCTGCTAGGGAACCCTCAGCCTTTGGGCTGGCCTGGATTCGCAGAGGTATTAGCCGTATTCAGGATTTGTGGTCAGTTATTCTGGGATCCTGGCGCCCCTTTGAAGAAGTTAAATCTCAGTTGCAGAATCTATGGAGGGTAGAAAAGAATTGGAAGAGTCTCCTGGCAGCGATCCCAATACACTGGCGCCAGCTTCTGGGTCCAGAAGGGATTGACCCGGTGGGTACGTGGTACTTGCAGCCCACCCGCACATCCACTGGCACAGTGTGGAAAGTCCAAGACATGACACAAAGCGGGTTCAGGAAGGTCCAGGTTTGGGAGGCAGAGGGACGTCCCTCCTCAGAACTACGCTTACTAGGAGAGGAGGTAGTGGTAAGCTCGGTGAACCCCCCACAGATCAGAGTGGTGGAGGGCCTGGATGCAAGTGGAGAGCAACCTCATTTTCGATGGGTGGGGAGGGTACCTCTCAGGGTATTGATGATAGATCCCACCGCGTGGCAATGGAAAAGCAGTAACATGGATTCTATGGACTTGACGTCTTATGCTGTGGGTGAATCCTACAAAAGAGCGCGCGAGAGGAAGAGAACACCCGCTGCAGTGGCAGTCGCCAGATGGGGGACGGTTCTGTTGGAGGACCTGCAGGGTCGGGAGGCGAGGTTTACTAAATTATGGAGCTCATTGCTGGACCTCCCCAGCCCCAAACAGGCTAGTATCTTGTGGCTTCTCTCGCTGCTGGTGACTCCGTCGTCCGTTTGGCTAGTTAGCAGGGGCATGGAGGTCAGCCTGGGCTGTACTCGCTGCACCTGGCCTTTCGAGTCCACCAGGCATGTCTGGTGGGATTGCCCAGCCTCGAAGAGAGTTTGGCAGTGGTGGGCAAGTCACTGGACCCATATGGGAGGAAAGGATATTGAGTGGGATGAGAGATGGGTATTGCTGGGCTTTGTACCAGAAGATCGTACCGGGAAGAGGGGTTGGTCTTACGTGGCGCAGGTAGCTAGAGCGGTGATCTGCTCGGTGATTTGGGCTGACAGAAACCGCTCCCGCTTTGAGGGTCGTCCGCTCTCAGATGTGGAAGTGAAAGCAGCGATAAAGAAAGGTATGAGACAGGCGATCTGGGCTGATTGGAAGCGGAAGGTTAAGCAGGGTAGAGGCTCTCGTCAGGCAAGATGGTGGTTCCTGAAAACGTGGGCCCAGGGCAACCGGCTGGTTGGTTTTCACAGGTCAAGAGGCCTGTGGTCACACAGTGGCTGTTGTAACGGACGTGGATACTTTAGGAAGGTTTGGAGAGCATGGCCTGTTTGCCTCACGGTTACCTGGGCACTCGGTTCCGTGTGGCTTAGGAGTTACTCAGAGTGCCATCACCATACCAGGTCACTCGGCTTTAGGGCCGCAGTGGGCCATGTAGGAGAGTGACAGTATTTTCTGGATCCAGACCCTCCGGGCCAGGGCCGCTGGGCCGCCGTAGTCCCAGCAGTAGTTGGTCAGGGTAGCAGGGGTAGGTGTTAGTTTCAGTACCCGTAGTCTCTGGTGTAGGTATGTTCTCTGTTATCCACCTCAGGGCTGTCCCTGGAGTTAGTATTGGTCCAATGTAGGGAGGCTTTTCGACTTCATACAATGGTAGTGAGGAAAACCTTGTCAGGCTCTGTGCCGTTAAGCTAAATCGATTGGAAATTGTTTGCTACCTACAGCTGAAATGGACAATTAGTAGTGGAAAGTCTGTAGAGGAGACTTTCTGCAGGCA